TGTGTGTGTGTGTGTGTGTGTGTGTGTGTGTGTGTGTGTGTCTCCAAGGTCAAAAGGTCAGATTAGACAACCCGTCTTCCCCACTCCCACCCCCAACCCCATTAATTGTGCTAATTTGAGATTTACTGCCCAAAGGAGTTTAGCCACCCTGTGACTTGTGCTCATGACATGAATTCCAATGAGGGCCACACAGGGACAGACTGGTGACTGGTGACTGGTGCCTTCTGAGTTTAGGATAAAGTCTGAATGAGAAGCTCACACTTCCTAGCAGCCACTCAGTGAATTCATCAAGGAGGAAAGGAGTTTTACAGAAGCTTGAGGTTCTCTTGTGTAATCTTCTTAAATTAGAAACCCTGATCTCCACTCTTTGTTCCCCTGCTGTGACTACAGAGTATGCAAAGCCCTGGGGTCAAGGGTCAAAGGCAAGGCTCTCAGGAATGTAGGATAGGTATGGGAGCGAAGAATGTAATGTAAGCTGGGAGTCCCTAGACCCACTGGGACCAAAATCCCAACAGGCCATGTGCATGGTTTTCTACTCAAGGGCTCCCACCACTAGTTGGTGGGACATTTGCATATCAGAAGGGTTCAAGACTGCCAAGGATAGATGCCACTCAGTTTCTTCACTGCAGAGTTTCACAGAACCTTTGCTGTGTCCACGTGCATTGTGACTTAATGAGAAAAGGACAGAGCCTACCACTCTTTAACCATGGTACTCTTATATGTCTGTTGGTCCTCAGAATACTCCCAAAAACATCTCAGAAAGGACTTGGGCATGTCCCCAGGTCCTGAAGTTGCCGTGTAGCCCTTGGATGCTGATCAAAGATTACACACAGTAGAATTGCCATAAGTCTTGTTAGAAACATGAATTGCCAGACCACTCCCCAGACCTCCTGAGTGGGAAAGACACTGGGAGCCTGATGTTTAAGATCACTCAAAAACTGAGACTATATACCGGGATGAGAGTCTAAAAAGGAGTTGCAGGGCCACTGATATAATCCATACATGTAATATGTACTTCATTCCTCTGGCCTGTCCTTACCTGTGTGGGCTCCTCCATTTCCAGCCCCAGATGTGGACCATGGACGGGATGCTCTCTGCACATCATAGACACAAGGCTATGTCCTTTCTGCATCTCCTTCTACAAAGTCCTACATGATGCAGATGGACACTATGAGAGCAAGGCTCTTGAGTCTTACATGATGCTGGCAGATGCTATGAAAGCCAGGCTCTGGGATCAGGAGGAGTAGGCACTCCAGCAGTTAAGCCCATGTCTTGAGCTAGACACAAGCTGTGGGGTGGAGGGGAATGCAGGCATTAGTGAGAAAGGCTGCTGCATGTAGGAGCAGACAGCTACACCCATGTGTACAAGACCATGTGGACTGTGGGGGTTAGAGCATTTCAAAGCAGAGAGGCAGAGATGCAAGAGCAGGAATGTGTCAGTATGGGACATTGTAGACCTGGGAAACATCAGGGACTCTAGGGGTAGCCCCAATAACTGCCTAGGCACACCCCACCCTTTTTTTACTTTTAATCTCGAGATGGGGTCTCACCAAGTTGCCCAAGCTGGCCTTAGACTCTTGTATCCAAGGCCCTTGAACTTGCAATCTCCCCCCACCACCCCTTTGCAGGCCTATACCATCAGGTCTAGATAGCACAACAGTTTTTACACTGGCAGAAAATAAAAACAACTAAGAATTTAAATATAAAAGAACACTGAGTAAGTAACACTGAATGCATCAAAAGAATCCTCATCAGAAGTTTGCAGGCGATGGAGAAACACTGAGGCAGTGAGAGAACCACCACATGATAGTGTATGTATGATTTGAGGGGAGAATGAGAACCACCACATGATAGTGTATGTATGACTGGAGGGGAGAATGATAACCACCATATGATAGTGTATGTATGACTTGGGGGGAGAATGAGAACCACCACATGATAGTATATGTATGACTGGCTGGGAGAATGAGAACCACCATATGATAGTATATGTATGACTTGGGGGGAGAATGACAACCACCACATGATAGTGTATGTATGACTTGAGGGGAGAATGAGAACCACCATATGATAGTATATGTATGACTTGAGGGGAGAATGAGAACCACCACATGATAGTATATGTATGACTGGAGGGGAGAATGAGAACCACCATATGATAGTATATGTATGACTTGGGGGGAGAATGAGAACCACCATATGATAGTATATGTATGACTGGAGGGGAAAATGAGTGTAATTCCATATTGTTTGTGTATCTGAACCAATATGGAAACCTAAGAAAATACACCAAAATGTTGATGGTTGTAGAACCCGGAATCAGCCTGACGGGCTGCTGCTGTTGTTTTCCGTTTTCAACATTTCCAGTTTCCATATGTTCCACCGTGAACACACATTTCATGTTCATCATCAGAAAAAGGAAAAAAGTGAACATTTTAAAACAGGAAGGTAGTCCTTTCTCAGCTTGGATTTTGATGGGATGGCACATATGTTACCAGTGACATGTGTATTCCTCAGGGCCACTTTGGGAGCTGTGCATTTTATTGTGTGTTGTCACACTCTGGGATGGCAGATCCCATGCTGAGCACAGCACTGGTGGTAGCCAGATCTGGGCCTCACTGTCACTTCTGTAATTGGCAGACCTCCTTGGAGTCACCTGTCCTCGTGTGGATTGTTGTGATCCTAGTGGCCTAGGTCACACACTGGAATAGGTGACAACTCAGGGATTTTAACAACAGCTAAGCTTACTATCTGTCTTCTGTCCTGTAGGGGTGGCCCTGCCCATGGCTGATAAGACTGAGCCTGGTTCAGAGAACTCCCTTTCTGTAAAAACAGCAAGCACTCAATCTTGTGCCTATTTCACCAGGGGTGACTAGTTTGGGTGCTGTCAGGTGTCATTCCTGGATTCATCTCTGGTATCCTCGAATGAAGATCTCTCTTAGTGTGTTGGTTGAATGTCATCATCCATGGCTGTATTCATACATCGCAGGTGACAGACAGGCTTTCTCTCCACCTGTCACTTCCTGTAACTTCCATGGAGCCTTTACTATCCCCATCTTACAACTGAGGAAATAGGCCCACAGGCAAGGTCACTTTCCCAGGGTCCCAAGAAATCTGAAATTGACACCCAGGACTGTCTAGCCTTGACATTGATGTTCTTCAACGCCATTAACTTAGGACCATCAAAATCCAGGCTTCTAGGTTCTGGGATATTTTCCTTACAGCTTATATAAGTTTTGGCCCATCTGCTTTTCAAAGCCCATATCTACTCCACATCATAGTACACGACTCAGCAAACACCCACAGACCTCCCATTTATGACACCGTGTGACTGTTAGGCAGGTCACACTGGCAGCCTTTATTCGTTTTCCATTGTTTATTTGGTGAGAGGTGGTGCATGCACACGCTGTACCCACAGAGGCCAGAGGAGGGCTTTGGATCCCCCTAGCACTGACAGCTCTGAGCTGCCACCCGGGTGCTAAGAATAAAACCCTGGTCCTCTGCAAGAGCAGCCAGTGGTTTTTTTTGTTTTGTTTTGTTTTGTTTTGTTTTGTTTTGTTTTAAGATTTTATTTATTTACTATGTATACAACATTCTGCTTCCACGTATATCTGCACACCAGAAGAGGGCACCAGATCTCATCACGGATGGTTGTGAGCCACCATGTGGTTGCTGGGAATTGAACTCAGGACCTCTGAAAGAGCAGTCAGTGCTCTTAACCTCTGAGCCATGTCTCCAGCCCCGCAGCCAGTGTTCTTAACTGCTGGAGCATCTCTCCATCCTCCAGTCTTTATTCTTGACTTCCCTACTTTGAACTTGGACAGTTATTAGGTCTAAACATTCTGTAGCATTTATATGAATGAATTTGAAGGAGCTCTGTGAGGCAAGCAGCCCAGAGTTGTGGGCTGAAGCACATGTGGCCATGAGAGTTGCTCACTTCATTGTCTTGTCCCAGAGGTTAGCAGGTGCCTCCAGCCTCACAGATGGGCCTTTGATTGAGGGACAGAGCTCAGTCATTTCTAGTCCTTTCTAGTCACAGCTCAAAGTGAATATTTTTTCTTACTGTCAGTATTAATGAATCCGTGTCAAATGTGGAAGCTGAAATGTCAAAAATTTTCCCCACAAAACCCACTAGGATAATCTGGGGAGATACCAGTGCCAGGATGTACCTATTCAGATCCTAACACCTAAGCAAAAAGACAGGTGCAGCTGTGGGCGGTGGGAAACAGTAATATTGCTAGGGCTTGCTGGCTCAAACATGGTGGGCTCCAGGCCCTGCCTCAATGAAATAATGCAGAGAGAGCAATAGAGAAGAAATTCAACATCCATAACCACAGAGGTTATGTATAAAGTAACACACACACACACACACACACACACACACACACACACACACACACACACACACACGAGAAGACAAAGTGTCTTGTCTATTCTCTGACCTGTAGAAACAGAGCGGATGTGCCCCAGGCCCCAGGAGATGGTGAAATCAAATGAGTATCATTGAACCAGTTGTTTGAAAGGCCAAACCCTGGTCTCTTACTATCCTGCAGAGAGTGACTCAATAAATAAGAATTAGAGCAAATCCTCACAGCCATTGAAAAATACAAATCCATACCAAATTAGTAAAGCACGAATTACTGAATAATTTGTAGCACAATTTTATTGCTTTAGAAATCAGGAGATAATTCATACTTATTGGATGGATGTTTCTGGGTAGATGGGTAGATAAGTGGATAAGTAAATGGATTAGTGAATGAATGAAAAGCAGTTAAAACATGTGCCAACCATGGTTCTAACTGTCTTAGTTGATAAACTCATTGAATGCTAAAATAACCCCACAAGGTGAGCACTACTGACATGCCCATTTGAAAGTCAAGATCACAGGAGCCACCAAGTAGCAGAACCAGAACCCAGCTTGAGATATGTGGGGCTGTCTGTGTGGCCACTGAGAGTCTTGTGCGCACTAGTCAAAGAATTCTCCAGTGTCATTGATTAGACCAGTGTTCCAAGGCTACAACATTGGAAAAGTCCCTTTGTGTGATGATATCTGCTGCTGTGAACAGTCCCCTGGCCTGTTGTCTCTTGTAGGTGAGGAAGCTGTGGCCCAGGGCAGGGAGGACAGTGGCAGCCCCACAGCAGCATTTACCCCTTGGAGGCTGAACCTCAGACCTCTCCAGACACTGCCAGGCTCTCTTCTTTCCCAGGCCAGGCCCTGCTTCTTTGTAAGCCCATCATCTTCCATGACCAGAAACTTTCCAACATCTCACAGCTCAGTAGTCTAAGCGAACCCTTTACAACATGTTTTCCCCCAATGTGTGGCAGTCTGCAATCTTTTCCTTGCCAATTCTTCAGGGTGACAAAGATGGAAGGCCAGCCTTTGCCATCTTTTGGAATCAGTTTCCAGAAGTACCAGGGACACGGCGTATGCTTCTAGCATGGTTTGGCTTTCCTGTTCAGATTAGCCAACTCCAGATGAATGGTGTCAGCAAGTCAGCTAATCCTTCCTACTCTAGTGCTCCCGGGCTTCCTGTTCGTGGCGCATGTGCAGGTTCTCACCAGCAGGCGGCAGCAGAACCTCACAGCTACAGATGCCCCACCTGGAGAATGGCTGCCAGTTTGCACCCAGTCTTCCCAGCTGAGGCCATGAGCTCTCTCCTAGCCTCTCTGTGCCTTGGTTTCCCCACTGCAAAGTGTGCACAACAGACCTACCTCATAAATCTGTTCCGAGGGTCATGTTATTACATACATTGTGCCTAATAGTGGTACTATACTAAGAACCTAAAAAAAAAATTGTAACAGTCAGTGTTCTCTACAGGGCTGCCACACTGACCAGCTGTCCTAGAGCTTTGCAAACGAAAATGAAAAGGCCACCCGCTGCTAGAGACCTTTTAGTCATCCAGAGAGAGCCTGTTCATTTTCATGGAGTTATGAAAATGCTAGGTCCTCAGGACTTAAAATGACAAGGGCTGAATTAGATGTTGGGGTGACAACTTGTGCAGTGCCCGTAGCTTCTTGATCTTGGGACTTTAAAAGTCTAACTTCTCATCAGATAATGGGCTTCTGGGGAAAGTGTGGTCACCTCTGGGACTCTCTCCGCTCTGATCCAAAGCAACCGCAGACAGACTTCTGTAGTAGCACTGAGCACTGACAGGCAAGATCTTTTTTGCTTGGCTTGACACTTGGCCAATATTCAACAAAAGCTATGATGCTGAAATCTTAAAATTGTAAGTAATATCACTTCAGATTTCTGTAACTCCGATGGGCTTGCCCTTGTTTTGCAGCACTGCCCGAGCTGAAACTCCTCTGTGGAGCAGACGTCCTGAAGACCTTCCAGACCCCCAACCTCTGGAAAGACGAGCACATCCAGGAGATAGTGGAGAAGTTTGGCTTGGTGTGTGTGAGCCGGAGGGGTCATGACCCGAAAGGGTACATCTTGGACTCGCCCATCCTCCGACAGTTCCAGCACAACATCCACCTGGCCAGGGAACCCATTCAGAATGAGATCAGTGCTACATACATCAGGAAAGCCTTGGGCCAAGGGCAGAGTGTGAAGTATCTCCTCCCTGACACCGTCATTGCCTACATCAGGGACCATGGCCTCTACAGCAGTGACGGTTCCTGGACAGGAAAAGGAAAGATTAGTTAGAGGGCAGTTAAGAGCTTTGTTTTGCTTTGGGGTCTGTGTTTCCCTGTTTGTTTTGTTTCTATGATGATAATACCATGGGTGACTTCCTACTGCAGAAAGAGGTTGTTTCTATGGCTGGGATAGTCGGTTATCAGAGCAACTTAAATGGCATGGCAGGTCGTCGGATTAGGCAAAACCTGTCAGGGCCACTGATGAGGAGACCAGCTTACTTTGTGTAAATGGTAATTAGAGGATGCACTTATGCTCTTCTGAACATGGCAGGTCCCTGAGAGATCGGATCACAGTTGCTTTTCTTTTTCTTTTTTTTCTTTTTGCAGACCAGGTGCAGCATGCTGGTCTTGATTGGCGGGATTTGACAAGGTGCTGATTACTGAACAGTAATTAGCCTCTGCAATGTCCTTGTTTCAAACAATAATACCAAGTGAGGATTCAGAAATCTGGAAACAGTACATCATTGTTCTCCCTTACAAACCATGGTCTGCCTGCCCACCTGCCCGCCTGCCCACCATGGTATAGCAGAAAAAAGACTTTTGATCACACCATTTCTGTTATAGTCAAGCAATATGTGTAAGTTTTATTGTGTGTGTGTGTGTGTGTGTGTGTGTGTGTGTGTGTGTGTGTGTGTGTGTGTGTGTAAATCAGAGGGACCTCAGAGTTCCAAGAAGCTGGAATTATAGGCAGTTGTGAGCTGCCTGATGTGGGTGCTGGGAACCAGTCTTACGGAAGAGCAGCCACTGTGCCATCTCTCCAACCCCCTCAAGCTATATTTTTGATACAGCAAGTATTTTTACACTGCTATACTCTAAACACCAGGGTTCCCAATATCCTGACTTCTAAAAAGGAACTGAAGTAAAACAGATGCCGACTGTTTTAGAAGATCTTTTGAATGTTTTATGACTGCCTGACTGTTTGAATATTGGCAAAAGGATAAATAATAAATTGACATCAAAAAGTACTAATGAAAAGTTTTTCTTTTTTTCCTTTGTTATATTATTAATGCCCAGTGTTCCAGCTGTTGCTCTTCTGTTTAGCTACTTTGAAATTTGTCCTGTTCAAATCTAAGTATGAATGTAAAACTTTGTGCCCTGAGTACAGAAGAGGAATGCCTTAGTCAGATTAACACAGCCTAGAGTCACCCAGAAGGGCGTCTAGAATTGAAGGATTATCCAGATCAGAATTTGGCCTGTGGGCATGTTTGCAGGGTGTGGGATGGGGGTCTTGATTGTTAACTAATGAAGAAGTGTCCAGCCCATAATGGGCAACACCATTCCCTGGGCTGGTATCCCTGAGCTGTATGAAAAAGCAAGCAGCCTGCCTCCATGGTTTCTGCTTCAAGTTCCTGCCCTGACTTCCCTCAGGGACCTGACTTCCCTGTGTGACCTGGAAGTATAAGATGAAACGACCCCTTTCCTCTCTACTTTACTTTTGGTACAGTTGTTTTATCACAGCAACAGAGATGAAACTGGAACAGAGAAGGAATAGCTTCTCCACCAACCCAAACAGTTTCCCAGATTAAAGCAGACGGCCATGTGCAGCCTGAAAGATGAGAAGGAAGTGTTTGGGATTTGCCATTCCACTCCTGGATTAATCTTTGGGATGTCCTCTTTGTGCTGAAGGACTGGCACAGACTCTGAGTCCCCATGCTCTGTACTGGCCCTTCTTTGTCACTTATTTAGTGACACGGGAAAGCAATAGGGCAAACAAGGAGGATCCAGTACCCCCGAAAACTCTCAGTGTTCTTGTGAGCCATGAAACAGGTAAGAGGAAATACAGACACAGTGACCGTCCTATGAGGTCCTGTAGACTTCCCTCCCTGATTGCGTTCTGCCCTCCAAGAGGTCCCGGAGAGCCTTGCTCACTCAGGGAAATTCGGATCAAATAGCCTTGTCTAAAAGCTGCCACGGCACATGGTAGGACTTTAACTCCTTTTACCACTATGGGCTGCAGTTTCTTTAACTCCACAGTGGAGTTTGGTTAGGTGTGCTCTAAACTTCCAGCTATAATTTTCTTTCCCTTTGTCACTTAGAAAGGAAGGGAGAAGGGGGAAGGAAGGAGGGAGGAAGAAAGGAAAGAAGAAAAGAAGGAAGGATTGATTCAGATAGTCCAGGTTTGAGCTTCTGTTTTGATTTTTGTTTGTTTGGGGTTGTTGTTTGGCAAGGTTTCACTCTTAATCCAGGAACTTGCTAGGTAAGCCATACTGGCCTGGCTACAGTTTTTCAGCAATCTCCTGCCTCAGCCTACCAAGTCCTGGGATTCCAAGCACACACCACCACTCCCAGCTCAGCCCTGATTTTCTAAGACTCTGGGTACTCACTCTGGTGTCAGTTTCTCCACCCTTCTTTGGGTCCAGTATCCACCTTAGTTAGACTGGAAGGTCAAAAAGAGATCTTGTCATTTGCAGATGGGAATTGCTATTGTGTTCCAGGAGCTGGCTCCAGGAAGACTCTTGGGCCCCATGCAAATGAACCAACAGAATCGGCTTTCTAATGAGATTCATTGGCCTCAGCTTCACTCACTCCAAATGATCACTTGTTTCTTTCTCATTTATTTATTTGTTTGTTTGGTTTTTTTGTTTAAGATGTGAGTGCTTTATCTGCATGTACACCTTTATGCCAGAAGAGGGCATCATATCCCATCAGAGATGGTTGTGAGCCACCATGTGGTTGCTGGGAACTGAACTCAGGTCCTCTCGAAGAGTGGTCAGTGCTCTTAACCCCTGAGCCATCTCTCCAGCCCCTGATCACTTGTTTCATTAAGCTGAAAGTACCATGGAAACTACTTCGCACTGCCTATTATCCTCAAAGCCACATTTCCACCACTGTTCTATGTGGGTCAAGAAGGGAGAGAACAAAAGCCTGCAGACAGTGGTATCCAGAAGGTGAGGTAGAGAAGGGATATGCAGAATGGGGTTCTCAGCCCCAACAACAGACATTCGGGGCTGCATAACTTCCTGGGCAATTCTTTCCCGGCCCCTGCATTGTAAAACTCCTTCCTGGCCTCTGTGCAAGGGATGCTAGTAGTATCACGATGTGGGATAATGCTCTTGTTCACTGTAAAGATTTGTCAGTTGTATTGGTCTAACAAAATGCTGAGTGGCCAGTAGCCAGGCAGGAAGTATAGACAGGGCTACCAGACCAGGGAAGAGGAAAGGCAGAAGTCACCAGCCAGACACAGAGGAAGCAAGATGAGACTGCCTTACTGAGAAAAGGTACCAAGCCACATGGATAAACATAGATAAGAATTATGAGTTAATTTAAGTTGTAAGAGTTAGCTAGTAATAAGCCTGAGCAATAAGCCAAACAGTTCATAATTAATAAAAGCCTCTGTGTGTTTATTTGGGGCTGAATGGCTGCAGGACAGAAACTTCAGTCTGCAGTATCATTAATAGCTATGGCAACACAACTGCCCAATACATGTGTCAAACATTCAGAACACCAGTTCTAACTGCAGTTGAGACCTATATGATAAATCTTTCTGCCAAACGCCAGCTGAGCCCCACCGCCATGTGTGAGCTTTATGCCAGCCGCCTGCCCGAGTTAAGCCCAAATGAATACACAGAAACTTATATTAGGTTCAAAGCTGCTTGGCCAATGACTAGGATTCTCATCTGTTAGCTCAGTCTTAACTGTCATAAACCTATATATTTTATAAGACTTATCTTATTGGACGCCTTATTGGCGTCCCTCCTTGCCAGTGGATCACATTGTGCCGCTGGAGCAGGAGCGGAGGGGAAACAGGGAGCCCTTCCTGTTTCTCCTTCGCTTAAATATGAGTCTCCTTGCTATGCCACTTCCTGCCTGGATCAGCACTTCTCTACTACATTTCCCAGAATCCTCTTTAACTCCTAGTCCCGTCTACTTGCTGTCTCATTGGCCAAACAGTATTTTATTTAACAATAAGATAAACATACACAGTACATTCCCCATCAGAGACCCGCTGGTTCAAGGCTACATTGGAGATGCGGAAAAGGGTGGGTTTTTTTTCTCTCTTTCCAACTGAGGACATCAAGAGGCTGCAGTGTCCAAATGAGCTTCTTTCAGAGAAGACCAGTGAGAGGCCCCCTACCATGAAGTCATGTTCATTCTAGGGTGCACAGTGCCATTGCATAGGGATTGGAACACCACATCCCTGACTCCCAGGCACCGCAGCTCTCATCCCTCCCTCTCAGTACTCACAGCATGTTTCTGGGCTAGTTTTTTACAGCTGAGGATTCCAACATAGCCAAGCCTTCTGTCCTAGCATTTAGGACCTGACAAGTAGAGGCTCACTGCTGGCAGTTGGTTGTTTCCTTGTTGTTACTGAACTTTAGGATTCATTTATTCAGATCACACTTATTGAGGTCCTCACATGTGCCAGGGATGTAATGGTGAACAGACACAGTCCCCATCCATAAGAAGTTTATAGTACAATGGAGAACACACAAGAATCCAATGATCACAAGCTAAAGTTGCCATTGCCAACAATGATGAGGGCTCTAAAGGCGACACTGATATGCTGATGGCAGAAGGCAGCTAGTTCTCTGCAAAGCTAATGAAGCTTACACTTTGGCTTCCCACTTCTCAGTGTCCTAATTGAATAGGTATCTAAGTTCCTGATTCTTGGTCCTTTTGAAAGGGGTCCCTTTGAACTCATACAAGGTATAGACTCTGATAAAGTGGTTTTCCTAATGGATGTGTTCCAGAGACTTTGGGATGGGTGGGGGCAAATGGCTTTGAAGAAGGGCATATGCAAAGGCCCTGGGGCAGAAGGGGAAAAATGGGTACCATGGAGAACTAGAGTCATCCAAATGTCTCTAACAAGGTGCTGGCTACTACACTGCACCTAACAGCAGGTGCCCTGCTTGCCACAGTCCCTCTGCCAGCCTTTCCATAGGCTTATTAGCCTTTGAGGGCATGCCTTCATCGCCGTGATCCACGTATGTGTTGTGTAGTTCCCACCAAACATCAGCTATTCCCATAGTAAAGCACAGCAAGACCTATGCTCTGTATATATGTATGTGTGTGTATTATGTATATATACACATATACTCACATATATCTTACTTTCTGTCACCTGCTCTGTCTCACTGATTCATGTCATTTCCCTCCCTCAGTAGCAGCAGGGAAAATATGTATCACTGTTCCGCCCCTGACGCATCTCCTATGTACTGATTTCACATTCCTCTCCATTCCCTCAGGTGTCCTCTGCATCTTGATGCCTGGGTATTTTATTTGTATTGCAAGAACAGAAAACAGTGGTTCAGGCTCCTGGGTAAATAGAATTTCCAGCCTTAAATAAAGGTTCTCCTATGACACTATTCGATACCCAAATGAGAACAGTGCTGTCTCTTTGCCTGGGGAAAGAAATTTTCATTGCTAATACTGTCTCTGTCACTTGGGACAGAATGATGTGAAATCCCATTTCAAACCAATACAGTTTTGGCTTTGCCAGGCACGCTTGGTAATTGGGTTAATGCATGAATATGTATCTCCTTAGCCTTGGCCTCACTTTCTATGCTGACAATGTTGCTGCCCCTCCCAGTTGTAGAGGTCTTCATACATCATAGTATCCAGCGTCAGTCATAAAGTTATTTTCTTAGTCCAAACCCTGACATTGTAGATGCAAATATGAATGACTGATAAATACTTCTCTGCAGTGATTCACATAGGCACATGCCTCTGAATAGTTTAGTATTGTTTAAATAACTTCAGCAAATATTGCTCTTGACAGCGCAGGCTGCAGGGACTATGAGAGGGACCCCGGAGTTCACTGGGACTCATATTTCTGAATTAGCAAACACTGAGTGAGCATTGGAAGTGCAATGTGCCTGCATGTCCTGTTGATACTACATTCTGTGCATCCGTTTGACCTCCTGCTCATTTCTTTTCTGTTGCTGTGAGAAACAACATGACCAAAAGGCAAGTTAGAGAAGCAGTGGGTTTATTATACTTACAAGTTGCAGTCCATAAGGATGGA